CACCGCACACTGCTGGGGGGGGCTGTCCGGGCTTTCCTCCGGGCGTGGGAGCCTAGGGCTGCTCTCACAAGTGCCCCTGCTGCCAGGGCAGGCCCCTGGGGCGGCCAAGCCCTCAGGGTGGCCCCGTTCGACCATGGCGATGGAGCATTTCACAGGACACTTGCGCCTGCCTTTCCCCAGCCCGTGCGGGGCTGCAGGGGTCCCTGGCCACCCCTCTGTGCCATCCCTGCCCCCCTTCCTCTGAGGGGAGGCTGTGGGGCCTTTCTGAGGGTAAAAGGGGTCAGCCAGGACACACAGATGTGCATTGGGCTGGATCCGACCCAGCACTTGGCTCTGAGAATAACCAGCACCAGTGCTGCCCGGGGGCACGGAGGCGAGGAAGACGAGGCGGCCACTGGAACGGTACGGGGAAGAGCACCGGGATGATGACGAGGCGCCAGGGACATGGTGGTGTTAAGGTACCTCACTCCCTGGGGAGCATCCCTGGGAAGTGCATGGCCAAGCCCAGGGCTGAGCCACAGAGGCTTTCACGGGGCAGCAGCAAAGGGCAGGAGGGATGGGTGCAGCCAGGTGTATCTACCACCTCCAGCACTACCCTTGCCGTGGACCATGTCAACCTGTCCCGTTTTGGGGCTCGGCCTCCTGCTCGGGCTGCTCTGAGCCGATGTCACCCACTCCTGCCATTTCTAGTGAAAGCAGGGCTTCCCCTGCCCGGGACCTGCCTGGCTCCCTGGGGAGGGGGGCCAGGCAGGGCTCCCACCCGTGCTCTCCTCTCCCCATCGCCTCCTCCATCTTCAGCAAACAGCTCCCAGGGATTGCTCCCGCCACCCAGGTGTGCCCCCGCTGACTGCCAAGCAGACACCAAGCCCTCTTTGTCCCCGCTGCCCATCAGCAGCACCACTAGCCCCATCTTCTCCCCCGAAGCTGGGCGGAGGCTGCCTGCCTGGAGGTGCACATTTGGGGAGCAGAGCATCCTCCCAAGGGGGAGCAGGCTTCAGCGGTGGCTGCCAGCAAGTCACATCCCTCCCTGCTCTGAGCCAGCACATCCCCATCAGGGAAGACGCTGCCCACGGCTGCGGGGCCGCAGCTCGGGGCTGGATGCACACAAGCACTTTCCACTGGGTGCATGAGTGTGGTGGGATGGTCACTGCTCTGGGGACTGTCACTGGCCTGTCCCCTCCCTGGCATTGTTTAGCCGGGGGGTGTGTGCGTGCATGCGTGTGTGTATGTGTGTGCACCAGGCCAACGTGCTACTGGCTGTAACAATTACAAATCTGTAAGAAGCAGCAGCCTCAAGAATCCCATGTCAGTGGTTTTGGGGACCGGTGCGGGAGCATCTCGCAGCAGGGCCGCATGCTCCGCACCTAGGGCAGGGGGAGAACAGGAAGGGGAAGGAGCAGGCGCCATGAAGCCACAACAAGGGAGCCCCAGAGGAGGTCCCCTCTGCTGGTCCCCCTTTTTCTGCTCCTTCCCTCGTTTCATTCATTTCAATGGGCTCCCAGCACAGG